GGCTACATGACGACGGTATTACGGCATCGCCCAAAGATGCGATTTTCACCACAAAACCGACTTAGATGAAAGTTCAGAGCGCTCAAAAAATACCCCGAGTTGTATAAAACTGAACGGTTCACGGCTGATCATAAGTGCATGGGTTCGCTCATTCTAAAATGACCATTCTTTGGCTAATCGGCGGAAAAATTACACCTCTGATGCTTTCAAAAGCATATAAAAAACCAGTTCCTGAAACGAACGAAGTTCTGCTGTCATGGATAAAACTAAGAATTTCATATCACAAAATATGGATCCCCCATTCATATGACCCTCAGAAAAGTTACAAGCAAAAAGGTGGTGCCACGCACCATGAAAAATGTCGTGGTTAAATTATATGCCTCTTAGCAAATTCCAGTGGACCAACCGATATTTTCTGAACGAAAGAGAGAAATACGTTAAATTAACATAAGACAAAAACCTTACGGCGCATTGCAAGGTCATATAATGCGAAAGCATTTGATTACTTCATTCTTCGCATATTCTGTTCATCGTATGTTTTAAAAATTTCCAAGTACGATGTTCTTTAACGCTTTTACAGCACACCGATAAGCTCTAGCAGTGCAGATCTTTTCTTCCGCCGTTCATCAGCCCAGCATTGTCGTCCTCAATGCTGAACGGTGTCAAGACGACGCACTGCAGTCATAAAGGCGGCTCGTTAAATAGAAGTGATAAGCCTCCCAAACTATGGAATGGCCATATCCGGATATTTTAATATCTTAACTGTACGCAGGGCATCTACTATCCGTCTTCCGGCTGATTATGTTGTAACACAGTGGGATGAGTTAATTGTTCAAGGGAATTTGCGGTTAGTAGGCAACATTCAAGTCCTGATTGAATTCAGATTGGCACTTGTGGCATAGCAATTCAAACTACGTCAGACAGGAAAGTCAGATTTCAGGAATTAAAATAAAATTAGCTGCGGATAACAGATACAACCAGTAAACTCCGTTCTGAAAAATGCCTCGGATAAACTGAAACAGTAACTCACTGAGGTTAATCATCATGACAAACGTGCTGTACTGAGCTACATTCATATCTGCTTTGGGTGTATTTTCAGCATGATTGCCATGCTGTAGCATGCTACTCGACGTTTACTAATCATGAATCTGGTAGCTTGTATTGTGTATCTTACATTTACGGCCGCAAATCTGCTGCGGGCCCTCGACAAAAACTTTCTTTTGCAGGTTTTCTTGCGAATTGCATTTTAAATTTAGCAAACCCGCATATAACACATCTTGAGACTGTCTGCTTTCCGACGGATTTCCGATTCTTGGTACGATATGATCAGGTCCTCCCTTCCTCCGTCAGCGTTTGTGTACAATTTTCTGAAATGTTCGCCCATTAGTTTCCTTACTATGCTGTCCGCATTTTCAACGATGATCATTAAGGCTTCTCATTAACAGACGATTGTAATATAATAACGAAGCAGTGGCCGGGGGCTTTGGGGCTCAGAAAATCCTTCACATCAGCGTTAATTTAAATGTACAGCAGAGACCGAACTCATGGTTTCGTGATATAAAGAAATCGTGTTCTACGTTTCACCGTTAGATAAGTATATATGCTTGATTCTAAAATCGTACTTGTTGATGAACTGCTCCAGTCCACGCCTTCGATCTTCGATAAAAGAATCTTCAAAGATACCATCATCACTTCGGAAAGGTAACTGGCGCTTTAACGCTTTCCCTGGTAGCGGCGGCACGACGATCTGAAAGCTTATAAGCCATTAAAACTGTAAATTCATCAAATTGCAACAAACAATAAAAACAGAAACATCCTTAAAATAGAATCCCTGCAAAAAACCTTATTTAATACGAAACTTTCGGAATCATAGAAAGGTGTACATTTACCAGCGTATAACAGTCATTACTGTGCTGTTTTCTGATCTCTGAACTATTTGCACTCAAGCAATTCAACCTCAATTATAACGTAGTGGCAAAGGGTAAACAATGTAAAGGATGTTACGCTACATTACATTAAACTACAATACATCAAACTAAATTACAATGAATACATTATATAAATGCCACATTAAACTACATTAGACTGCCTCACAATCCACTTATATATAGATGAACACGGTGCACATAAATAAATGAAAGATGTTGGAGGAGGGGGACGAACAGATTCAATTCAGATGCAAAGTGTGAAGGGACTCAGATTTGGAACTGCTGAAGATGAAATGCCAGAAAAGCGACATAAAAACGCTAAAGAACAACCTCACGCTATTTCAATTCAAATTAAATAACCGATTTGACGCCATTAAAGAAATGCAAGAAGAAGAAACAGGAATGCGGTGAACATTAACGTAAAGTGTCAAAATATAACAAAGGCAGTACGGAGAAAAAAATCTCTGGAACAAGGGTTATGAAGTCACGAAACAAACGAAGAGAAAATAAGGTAGTAACAGATCATAAATCAAAGATCGAATACGTGTGCCTTAAGAAAACGGATAAAACAACGTCCGAGCATTCAACTGCAAATTGGTAAAGGTAACTGAAAACAATCGAAGCAGGAAAAAATTAAATAAAAGAATGAAGGGTTAGAATCGACAAATTCTAGTCTTCAGGCAGAGGAGGGGATTGTCATCAGGGAACGACGAAAGATTCTAAATAGAGTGGCAGATTTCCACTGAAAATGTACAGAGATTAAGAGAAAAATACCCTTGCTGACGATGAGGAACCTGAAGATTGAAACGTAAGTTGATAAATTCTAGAGGCCAATAAAAGTGCAACAGCAAAATAGGCGAAGCGAGGAACGACACCGGGCGAATATGGCATTACAGTAGAACTCGTAGAATCTGGAAGTGAAGCAACGACCAGCATATCAGCGCGCATGTTTTCACGCCGCCTTAAGGAACTGAAATTTCCAGGCGATTCAACTACCGTACTGGTTATTCTAATCCACAAGAAACGGACAGAGAGGATTTGAAGAATACAGGTTGATCAGCTCGTAGCAAATCTTAAATCTATAAAATCTTCACAACGGTACTGATGAATAAACTTCAGAAAAACTGAGTGCTGCAGGAACAAGCAGAATTCAAAAGTGCTGAATTATCTTAAAG